ATCCATTGCAATAATACTGCCATGTGTGTTATGAAAACTGTTCTTCCTATTCCAATGGATAGAAGCAAACCTTTACAGCTACACATGGCTTTAAAACAACAGCAACAAAGTAGTAAAACTTTCAGCTTTTGATTCTTAAGCATGTTTTGATAATACAAAAATATGTGGATTTCAGATAAGCTTTGCAACAGGTGAAATAAATTGCCCTTGAAACTGAGGGCCACACCAAGCTTCTTCAGAGAACTAGAGACATGAAATCATCGTTCTATGAGCCAGGTTGCATATTAGCTATGGTTTTATTAGTTTTAAGGGTTAAAATTCATTGTTCGCCACAGTTCTGGATTTCTTTTTAACTTCAGTCCACAAGCTATTGAGACTAAAAGTGGTTTTTCTCCATGGATTTTTATTTTATGTATTACTATATATTCTGTTTGGTATATAACAGTAAGAAGTGCATTTTATATACTCAAACATTGGTATATACGAAAATATTTGACATGTAGTATAGAGGTTAGTTCAACTACTTACTTAACTGCCTTGGTTGTGAAATGCTGAATTCAAACCAGCTCACACAGGATTTGTTTCACTTTATCTCTGTTGGAAGAAATAAAACCTATAATTTAAGCCAAATTCCGATGCTTTGCTCTGAGTTTTACTAGTGCATGCCATCTAAAATGTACTAACAATGCCAAAAATACAACACTGAACGTTCTTCTATTTATCCTCCATGTATCATTTTCTTGTTTTGGTAATCAGGCTCCAAAGTGATTGCAATTGAAATAATCCAAACCACAAGTTTTTGAAAGCTCTCTCGTGACCACCTTTGTGATGGGGGGGTTTCTGTGGATCTACATGGAAAAAAAAATCTTGTCATGACTCTCTTGGGGTTTTTTTATGCCTCACCCAGAACTCCCTTATTCTCACTAAAGATTCAGATAGAAAACTGTGTCCTTCACCTACGTCACCTGTTAAATATGACAAATGCATTTCACCTGTTTAGAAAGATGAATATGCTTCAATTATGAGAAAGTAACACTGGTGCACATCTTTTTCCACCTGGAATGATAAGGGATTAACTATTACAGTTATAAAGATTTCTGGACTGTTGCAGTAAAGACTTGTTTGGTCAATAGATTTCTATGAGGAGTTACTAAGTAAATCTGTCGGCTCATTCAGTTACATTTTTGGAGTGAGTTACAGAAGCAAGTATGTGGAATTCATCCTGGACAGTGCAAAAGAAAAGGTCAGGATTTTTTTGTTGTTACCAGATATGCATATTCCACGTGGGCTTTCTAAGGAGGACTCTGCCTTCATAAAATATTAACTGGAAGATTTTCTCTATGCTTTCTATCAGTGTATGAAAACAAGACAAAAGAAGCAGGACCATTCCTATCGTGATTCAAGTAGGATTCATTTTCTGTAGATATGCAAAAAAAGGAGACGTTCGTGTAAGTCCACACTTTGTGCAGCCTGAGGAAAGAGATGAAAGACAGAAAAGCTGCCTTCTAGAAGGGCCCGCTTCTTGAGGCATGGAAAGAAGTGCCTTTTTCCTGGGGACTGAGTCTTGAGGGATGCTAGATTAACTAACTGAGCCTGAACAGCCAAGTTTTGAAAAGGTGGAGTGGGCGCATTACCAAAGAAGAGATTCAAACTTTCTCTGAGTTGAGCAGGGATCAGAGGAACATGCTCTGGTCACTGATACTCCAATGGAACTGATCCATCATGGTTGGATGTTTGAATAACATCACAGTTCATAGCTCCAAAATTAATATTTTGGTTTGTTTTTTTTTAATTGGTAATTCCCTAAATCCAATCCTGCAGAACTGCATACAGCTGCATAGCAATCAAAGTTACAGACAGAAGGGCAATTTGTATTGTGTAGCATATCATGCAGTGTTGAAGACTATTATGAAAACAACACTGTTACTACAGAAATATTTTGTGAGCGTAATGGTAGCAAAAGAAATTAAACTAACATTTACTCTTCAGGTTTGCAGCTAAATGTAGCTTTCACCTGAATGTATGTGGGTAACCTTGCTTTTGCTCTGCCCAACAATCACATAAAGAATGCATGTTGTCTTACCAAAAATTGCTGGAAAGGTTAGACTCCCATTCTTCACATTCTTCTTCCTGAACTTTGACTTTAAACATTTTTCATTAGGAGTATACATATGTATCTATGATATATACTTACTACAGTACAACTGTGATTTTACATGCACACAGACATATCATAAAGTCATAGAATCCCAGGTTGAAAGGGTTCTCAAGTTTCATCTGCTCCAACCTTTCTAGGCAAAGCATGAGCTGGACTAGATGTCCGAGCACCCTGTCCAGCTAAATCTTAAGAGTTCAGTGTTGAGAAGTCCACCATTTCCCTGGTAGATTATTCCAATGGCTGATTAAAATAAATTATATGAATTAAATTATAAAAAAACTGAATGTCAATATAAATATCAATATAAATAATGAGGGAAATAAATTGAGCCAAAATTACTGGCAACAGTAACATCATGTTTCCACAGTGCTAGGCTTGTGCACAGAGGTTTAGAAATCTCACATTACTTCCCATATTTGTATTGTAAAATGGTAAAATGGCACTGTTCATTACTACAGCCATATTTTTAGTCTGGTTTGGCCTGCTGCCTTAAACCTCTGCATGGTCTCAAAGAGCAATTTTCACAGTGTAAATAAATTCCCCTAAGTATGGCACTTCCTTTGTAGTATTTTAGAATTGCTCTTAGTTTGTTTTTAAATCACAAAGATAAAAGTGCCTCAAATACTGCATGTCATTATTTACCAATAAAGCTGATCAAAATCCTTATGCCTGGAAGCTAGCAATTTCTGCTTTAAAACACCAATATAACTCTGAAGTCTTAGGTGTTATTCCTGGAAATGACATCTGTGTGTAACAATAATGCTATTGTGAGATGCCCCACCTTGTGAAGGTAGCCCAGGACTGATTCAAGACAACAGCTGTGATTGCTTATATTTGTGCACTAAAAGGTACCCAACTATCCTAATCTTGTCTAAAGTAGTTCCTTTTCATCTTTCATAGCGCAGCTAGTTCCCTATTGATACTATCTTGCTGCTTTCTCAAACCTTTGACACTTTGTTTTTTTTGCTGTTCTATTTTCTTTTTGAGGAGTAGCTCTTTCATTCTGCTTGATAAAAGCAGGGTGCTGCGACTTAGTGCATGATATTTCCACATTCCTGGAACTATCAATTTCAAAGACTTTCATATGTTAACTTGATAATATACTCATTTCTATGCATGTTGCACATGTTCAAGGACAAATAGGATTTCTAATAAAGAAAGTGGATTGAACTACATGATGTGAAAATTGCTAACAGATGGAAGAACGGTACAGTAATGGCAACTGGCCATCATAAGACAATGCAGAAACAATGAAAAGGCAGGGAGCAGGTATCTGTCTGGAGACAGATGCCCTTGAAGTACAGAAAGCCACAAAATAATAGGGCAGGTAAACAAGCATACATGGATTTTTAAAACAATATTCCAAGCACTGTTGTTACACGAGAAGTATAAGGTGAAAAACCGTCAATAAATCTAGACAAAAGTAATTGGAAAAATGTTAATAAGGCTATGCATTTTGTGTTATAACACCTATATCATATCTATAATATCAAACAATAATATCACCATGTTGATTTTAATATGAAGTAGATATTTTTTTTTTTTCCATACAGTCAAATTTAAGGGTGCTGATTCTGGTTTGAGGAGCAATCAAGGTGTGGTGGCTGTTGCAGATTATCACATCCCTACCAAAGCCATCAAAATAGGAAACATGCTTCCAGCTCAGCAGATCCAGGCATTACTCAGAGGAAACCAGACTTTGAGGAATATCATCCCTCTCTATGTTCCTTAAGAACACTCCATCCTGTGCAGGAGTACTGTATTTATAGACACAGTAAGAGAAAGTAAATGCAATTGTGAAGAATGTGCTTCGTAACGAGGAATTCAAAACTCCTGGTATCAAATTCTGCACAGAGTTTGACTCTCCTATGAAGGTGGGCTGAGAAGTGATCTTTGAAGAGCCTGTATGATCAACACCTTCAATTTTGTGCAGCAAACTTACAGTGCAGATTCTGATGGCTGAGAAAAAACACACAGACCTAAAATAGTGAAAAACTTGTTCTACCAGACAACATGAAGAGTAACAGAGCTGGTGAGCAGCCATGCTGAATGCTGAACATCATCACCATCATCATCATCATCATCATCCATCATCGTCACCATCATGGCTTGACTTTGCGAACGAAGATTTGGGAAGGGCTTTACCCCTACTTTATACAAGCATCCTGATGACTAAAAAAGCCAATGTGGGATAGGCAAATCCGGTTGCAAAAAGCACAGATATAGGTCTCTTTGGGTGGTATAGGCAGGGCGTGATTCTTTCTACGTTGTCTTTTCTCCTTGAGACTAATTCTGCGTGTGTTCTCAAAGGAGACAACAGCACTATGTATGGTGTGTCTCCAAGTCTCCCAATTGGAGGCCAAGGTGGGCCACTGATGGTAGTCAGTATGGCCAAGGTTAAAGTATTGTTTCACGAAGTCCTTTTATCTCTTCTTTGGGGCACTTCTCTTGCAGCAACCACTGGCGAATTCACCGCTGCAACTTTCAGTGCACTTTATCACCTGCCGTTTCGTCCCTCACCTGTCGCTACAGGGCTTTCCAAGTGTGGGTAAACCCTTTGGGCCTGTGCAGTGGATTTTTTAGGTGAGGCACAGCGTGCGCAGAACTGACCTCACCCTTTACACCTGAGGTTTATCTGCCAGGGCCTAGCAAGCTTGGACAGTGACAGCAAAGTCCTCAGGTCATAGGTTTGATTAGAGTGTCCTTCTCTTAGATGGATGGCCTTACAGGGCTAAACGAGCTCCATCTGCCCAGGTTTGAAGTTATACTCCTGGGATGGCTGCCCGAAGGCTAGTGAGCCCATCCTGCCCATGGACACACTTTGTCTGACCCTTCAGTTGTTAAAAAAAGTGTCAAAAAAATCATTCTTTTGTATGCAAACACGAGTTTGCTGAAAAGGTAATATAACAAGAGCATGGTGATTCACAATGGCTCCAGGACTTCTTTGGATTACAGGGTGTAACTTTCACTCTGATGTTTTGAGCAGTGAGTCAGTATTTCTCAGTAATCATTCCTGATTAGACCCACGCTTTACTTGATTTTAGTTTTTTACTTTTTCGACCTTTTCTATCTGGGACAACATATTTGAATTTTGTGAGCTTCCAAGGATGAAAGTTTTATTTCTTTCACTCTCCTAATTCTTGTGCGAGTAGGATGAATTCTTTGGGGATGAATAGAAGCTATTTGGCCTATAAAACTTGCCCTTTTTTGGTTCTATCTTTCTCACATGATGTCATGCAGTTATTTTTCTGAATGACTTCAACTTGTTTGCCTCAACAAGTCTGCTATTTTATTATTTTATTATATATGTGTCCTGTAAAAATCAGCCCTGCCTCCTGCTACCATTTCTGAAGTAAGAATCTCTGATAATATCAAGTGGATTGGAAATAATTAGCAGGCATCTTATACAATTGTAATCTTACAGTTTTTCAATCTGTTGTTGTCACTGTCTCTCTATTCCATTATATTGTTGCATTTATTATAAAAGTATGACTATATTTGATACAACTATACTAGCCATAATTAAAGAAAGATATCTTCCCCCCAATCCCATCAAATTTCCTAAAAGAAAGGATTCAAAAGAGAGGAAATTCTAAAGGAACTCTAAAGATTTCTGTAAACCGAAGATTTCTGTGGACGCTGGAAAGATACAAACACAACAGACAATTCTCTCTCATCGGGCTTCACAAGTGAAAGGGACAAATTCCAGATTGCTACAATGGAATTTTGGATTGCTAAAATGGAGTTTAGCAATCTGGAGTTTGGAACAGCAATGTGAGCTAGCAAACCTGAATTTGATGACGAGATAATTCATGACACTGACTACCTTTCCTGCCTAGCTGCTTGGTTAAACAGATTTGTATAATCTGACTTTTGGCTTCTCAGTGCTAAAATAACTGCAAAGTATTTCCTGAGAAGCTTGAGGAAAAGCACTGTGCTTATATCATAGCACTTTTTCTCTACTATTTATAATAGTATTTTGTCCCTTGAGAATATCTGGAATTTAAATGGCTATTGTACACATTCTGCTTCTTCATGGTGGATACAATCAGAAAAAAACTCAGCAAGGTGTTCCAGAATCTGTGCTACTGGCAGTTCTGAACTATTGAGGAGATGTGTCCTTTCCAAGGAAAACACACATTTACATGGGATAGTCACTTTTCAAGAGAAAACAACATATATGTAGGTGACTTAGGGCAACTCTTATGGCCATAGAATACAATACTATGGAAAAGCGCTGGACTGGAAAGAATACCCCAAATGACTACAAATCTGTCCTTAATAGCTTCGATGTACTTTGTAACATTGTTTTAAGATGGCATGTGTTATTTATAAAATACTTAAAATCCTTACAAATATTCGGTTGCTGTTGGCTTCCTTTCCCTTTATCCACTTGACATACCACAGCTGTTCAAAGTTTCATTTTTAATCTGGAAATGATAGTCATATTTTAAAAATAAATTCAAACCATGCATATTCACCAATTTTTTTTCATTTCTCACTTTCTGAAAACCCTATGCAGCTACAATCATAGAATCATAGAATAGTTAGGGTTGGAAAGATCATCTAGTTCCAACTCGCTGGCACAGGCATGCACACCACCCACTAAACCATGTCACTCAAGACTCTATCCAACCTGGCCATTCACTACTTCCTTGGGCAACCCATTCCGGTGCCTCACCAGCCTCACAGTAAAGAACTTCTTCCTTATATCTAACCTACACTTGCTCTGTTTAAGTTTTAACCTGTTACCCCTTGTCCTATCACTACAGTCCCTAATGAAGAGTCCCTCTCCAGCATCCTTGTAGAGATACTGGAAGGCTGCTATGAGGTCTCCACACAGCCTTCTCTTCTCCAGGCTGAACAGCCCCAACTTTATCAGCCTGTCTTCATACGGGAGGTGCTTCAGTCCCCTGATCATTCTCATGGCCCTCCTCTGGACTTGTTCCAACAGTTCCATGTCCTTCTTATGTTGAGGACACCAGAACTGCACACAATACTCCAGGTGAGGTCTCACGCGAGCAGAGCAGAGGGGCAGGATCATCTCCTTCGACCTGCTGGTCACGCTCCTTTTGATGCAGCCGAGGATACGGTTGGTTTCTGGGCTGCAAGTACACAGTGAAGCCGGCTCATGTTCATTTTCTCATCAACCAACACCCGCAAGTCCTTCTCCACAGGGCTGCTCTGAATCTCTTCTCTACCCAGCCTGTTCTGAATCTCTTCTTTGTCCAACCTGTGGCTGTGCCTGGGATAGCTCTGACCCAGGTGTAGGACCTTGCACTTGGTTTGGTTGAACTTCCTGAGGCTGGCATTGACCCACCTCACAAGCATGTCAAGGTCCCTCTGGATGGCATTCCTTCCCTCCAGCGTATCAACAGAACCACACAGCTTGGTGTCATTGGCAAACTTGCTGAGGGCGCACTCAATCCCACTGTCCATGTCAGCGACAAAGATGTTGAATAAGACCGGTCCCAACACTGATCCCTGAGGGACACCACTCATTACTGGTCTCCAGCTGGACATCGAGCCATTGACCACAACTCTTTGTGTGCAGCCATCCAGCCAGTTCTTTATTCACCGAGTGGTCCATCCGTCAAATTGATGTCTCTCCAATTTAGATACAAGGATACTGTGCGGGACAGTGTCGAATGCTTTGCACAAGTCCAGGTGGTTGATGTCAACTGCTCTACCCCTGTCCATTAGTTCTGTAGCCCCATCATAGAAGGCCACCATCAGGCAAGATTTCCCCTTAGTGAAGCCATGCTGGCTGTCACCAAGCACCTTGTTGTTTTTCATGTGCCTTAGCATGCCTTCCAGGAGAATCTGCTCCAAGATTTTGCCAGGCACAGAGGTGAGACTGACTGGTCTGTAATTCCCTGGGTCATCCATTTTCCCCTTCTTGAAAATGGGGGTTATATTTCCCTTTTTTCAGTCATCAGGAACTTCAACTGACTGCCTTGATTTTTCAAATATGATGGATAGTGGCTTAGCAACTTCATTCACCAGCCCCTTCAGGACCCGTGGATGGATTTCATCAGGCCCCATGGACCTGTGCACGTTCAGGTTCTTAAGATGATCTTGAACCTCATTCTCTCCTACAGTGGCCCTAAGGTCTTCATTCTCACAGTCCCTGCATCTGCCTTCCAGGACTTGGGTGGCGTGGTCAAAGCATTTGCTAGTGAGGACTGAGCCAAATAAGTCTTTGAGAACTTCAGTCTTCTCCAAATCCAGGGTAGCCAGATCTCCTGATAGCTTCTGAAGGGGTCCCACATTAACCCTTGTCTGTCTTTTGTTTACTACATACCTGTAGAAGCCCTTCCTGTTATCTTTCACATCCCTTGCCAGATTTAATTCTAACTGGGCCTTAGCTTTCCTAACCTGGTCCCTAGCTTCCCAGCCAATATCCCTGTATTCTTCCCAGGTCAACTGCCCTTGTTTCCACCTTTTATAAGCTTTTTTTTTTCCTCTAAGTTTTCACAACATTATATCCAGTATGAATTTTAATCCGTTTTGGCATCAGAGGTAGAGTCTTCTAACACCTGATTATGGATGAAATTCTTTACTTTTGCAATGTCTCTTAACTAGCTTTTAAATTTGAATAATTTAAAATAAACCCACCTGAATTCAACAAATTAAACACTCCACAAAATCCTGACTAAGCTTCACAGGTTTTAAACTAGACTTCTAATTCTTTTCCCATATTCCCAAATCACATGTACAAAAAAAATAATGCCCCTCTGTTGAGACCTCTGCTTTCTGAAACTTTTTATTTGCCTCTGTTGTTTGCTGTTGCTTTATTCATAATGTAAGCATTTATAATACAGCAGGTAAAGACAATGAGGAGCACTGGTAATTAAACATGAGAAACAGTCTTTACATGCCTTTCATGTTCTTCAATACCTGACTAGGAAAAGCACAGAAAAAAAATCCATATCAGAAAGGCATAAAGGAAGGCTGTCAAAGATTCTGACTAGGCAAAGAAAGGACCCAGAAAACCTAGTTCACAAATATTTGCACTATGGGAATGTGGTAAGGGAGTCAATCTCCCTAGCAATCAAGATAAATTATGTTGCAACTGCCATTTCTCTCATTCTCTAAGTTCTCAATGAAAGAGCCAGCTGGTTAAAATCTAACCTTCTCCATCAGAGCTTATCAGACTGCGGTCTGAAGGGATCAGAAGTTGCTCCATGAATAACTATGATTTCTTGTTTGGGTTTGGTGGGTTTGGGGTTTTGCTTGTTTGCTGGTGGGTTGTTTTCTACTTTTTTTTTTCTATTAACACACTTTCATTCCTACTGGTGAAAAATAAACAAATGTATTCTGCAAGGGAAAACATGAGCAATGGAAATCAACTTTTACACTATTTTTATTCGTTTTTAAGTTAATGTTTTATGGCAGCAATGCTTGGGGTGTCTATGTATTTTTTTTTCCCAGCAAATTCAGAAATTCTGCTGTATGTTCAAAATACTGCTCTGCTTCTCATTGGAATACATATCAAGCTGTTTGACTACCTGTGCTGTGGAGGAGGGGGCTATGGAATCATTACTCACTAAATTGTATGTTATCTTGTATGTCCACCCTTTCATCTCCTTCTCTTTAGTTATGTTTTTCTAATATATTAACTATACAAATCAACTGATACAAATGACAAACTGTAAATTTCTTTGTAAATAACATGTATGTATTAGTAATTTCAAATTTTCAACTTATAATTCATCTTGCTATCTTCAGGAAATATACTGCTACTGAAGAGCTGTTTTAACCAAAATGCAAGAAAATTACAAAGAAATTGGAACTGATACCTCTCCTTCATCTTCTGTAATTTCCAGAATCAAACAAGATAATCAATACTTTCAAAAATAAATGTAGTGAAATCCAGCCGAGAATCACAGCGTGCA